TTTTTTTCCATTCTTCGTAGTTTATGCGCTTCGTCGTTTTCGCGATAGGCCATCAAACACCCGCTTAAATAGTCTCAATTTACCATAACGAGCAAAGAGAAGAACTTAGTGTAAAAATAACATTAACGCCGCTTCAATCATACTGGTTGTAAGAATTCCAGCACTCACAAATCTCTGGACCACTTCATGGAGTACTGGTTAGTTACAATAGTCATTTACTATGTTCAACTCCAACAAAAAAAATACAAAACCATAACTGCGTTTGGAAGCGTTAACCAGCACTAGTGATCATGGTGTTGAGATCAAACATAGCTAAGAAAACTTTACTCTGTATAAAGTTCGACAAGAAAAAGTCGACTAAAACTTCCACAATGAGGAAGGCCTAACTGGGAATTGAGGATTTGATTAGGAAAGATTAGGGCAGTATGCACATATACATGACTAAAGTTCATACACTAATCCTAGTCAACAGCAATCACAACAATATGAACTTTCTTGACTCATTGGGGACAAGAGATGAGAGCATATGAGTAATCACAGAAGGCGTTCTCATCATACTCCACCTGGGTACAAATGAAATCTACAAAAAGTTTCTTCAAAAAAAGAGAAATATGTGCATAATGAGAAAACATACAGATGCAGGTAATCCTAAAATGAAATGCGCCGCATATGAGTAATTCATAGATAGTAAGAAATTCTATCATGATACTGTTATTTGTAAAAGGGTCTAAAACAATGATTATGATGCTCAGGGGAACTGCACCGAACAAGATGAGGAAAAACTTCCAAAATCCCTTTACGTGAACCCTGCCTCGCAAGGATACAGTCACATCTCAAGCCAAAACGGACAAATGCACGGATAAGGTCAAACAAATTATCAACGTGATCTTTGAAGTTTAACGATGAAGTTCAAATCCCTGAGCATTCATCAACCTGACAGCAGTTCGCAACCGCTCTAACAATCCCGCTCCTACACATGACATCAAAGGGCTGCTCATAAAGAGTGCGACAATGCCAGTGGAAAGATATGGGTGCAGAATAACATCCTTTTGCAAATATTGTCAAAGACCTTAGTTCTTATAGAAAAAATCAAAAATACAAAACCCATTCTCACTTGATGTTTCTTGAGTTTGAAAAGGACAAACTTCTTGCACAAGTATGAGCAACCCCGCAGATATTCAAACAACAAGCATTCAATGTGTTATAAATTTCTAAACAGAGGTCCCAAGTCTTCAATTGTCAGAATGAAGCCAAGTTATCAGCCTAGTTAATTCAAAAATATAAGAACAATTATGTGGCTTCAGTCTGTCAAACTAAGTAAAAAAGAGCTAGAATTCATTACAGTCTAAAACACAACGTTACGTTTATCCCTCTGCTTTCCACGCATTTGATTTCTTTGTTTGGACGCTGCGTCAAGGGCCGCCATCTAAAAATTCAAAGGCGAGTTGGAGTTTTCGAGGTAACAACAACTCACTCTAGCCAATTTGCTGATCTTTTCTAATTGGTCCACTTCTTGAACTGGTCCCATGTCAAAAAGTTCGCGTAACAGTTCATTATATTGCAGTTGTCTCACTATTCCACCACGAAGAAGCTGGAAAAGTAAGAAACGCTTGAAATCTACATCAAACACTCGGGTATATTTGAATCGAAAAATATTCGTATGTTAAACATAGTACAGCATCCTATAGTGTACAGACTGCTCGAATAGATTCTTTTCAAGTCTTGGTGTAAGACTGGGGAATTACCCCAAGTTGTTCGCGCGCCCTCTGATCTGATTACTTTAATTCCACAATGACATCTTTATAGAAGTGACGACAAGTAGGATCTTTGTTCAGAAATAAGTAAAAAGCAACTACTGAAGACACTAACCTCACAGCAGATGTCATAAAGTAACTTCGAAGCGCATGAATCCAATAAGAGCGCCTCCTTGTTGAACTTTATAGTCAACGATGGAGTATCTTTGTCTACTATGCTGGAGTAGACCTGCCTGAATTGGAAGCAGTGCTTACGAACGAAGTAACGGGTCAGAACTGGATTTCGGCATCATAACCGATGATAGCAAATATAACCCACCTCAGCGTGAATCGTTGTGCTCTCTTGTCCTTCTTCGCTTTTGCTTTAGAACTGTCGCTGCACAAGAACTCGAGAATCTGAAAAAGGAGATGGCTCCGCTTAGTTGATTGTAGAGAACTGGGATATGATGACCTCCACTATTTGCTGGTGGTTCGGAAGCCGGAAATTATGCCTGGTTTCTGAGCCAATTTCGTAAAGAAATGCGAGCGCTTCTCCGGTGGCTAATCGAATATCGAGCTGATCAGCTTCAAGATACGAAGCGAGTTTTGAAAATTCACCAAAGGCTGAATTCAGTGTTGCTGCGTCTGCGTCCTAAAAAACACATAGTTGTGGTCAAGAGATCAAATAGAGCCATATGAGTTTAGGAAAACACGTTTCCAATGTTTTCCGTTAACACTGCTGTTTTTGACCTCTCAAAAGGAACCGAATAAGCGGATGGATCGGTTTTCTGTAATAACTAAAAATGTGGACATCAGCGAGATACCTGCAGTAATAAGCACCAGCTTTCCAATGTAGAGGAATATAGTCGTGTGCTATGTGCAGTCAACTTGATGTTAGCCCAGACAGACCTGAGGGCCTAAAAGTAATTACCTTCTAACAATGTAGTTGCCTGAAAAATATACGTATATACCTTTATGCTTGCAGCTACAGATTCGTCACTGACTGAAGCAACATGAGTGCTTACAGCAATAGAAAGGGCACAGAACGAGCGTAACTGCTCTGATTTAGCAGGATCCGTTACAAGTGCGCGCAGAGTTCCCAAACATTCCTCGATATCAGCTCCCATTTCTTCTCCTAAACATGTTTAATACAGCAGTGTAGGTGAGATTGTTACATAAATCAAAAACCTATTTGCAACGAAATAAGAGCAAGAAGAATCGCTGAGACGACAATCTCCTCATCAGTTTTTCGCAGATTTCTGGTGATAATTTCAATCAGTGTCAGTCGCCACTTTGTCACAAAGTCCGGTATATACTGTGAGCAAAAGGCCACCTGAAGATGCTTCAACGCAGCCATTCGTATAGAAATGCTGTAAAATTCTCATAGGATGTCTCAAGTTTCTAAGTGAATATCAAATTCAAAAGTACTTCTTGTGGCTAGCATTCTCAATGTGCTCGCTGAGAGTGTCTAGGAAGTCGGGAGCATCAAGATCATCGCCACCATCACCTTCAAAAGCTTAGCTGAGTTTAGATCGAGTTCCCAATTTCCTACAAAAAAAAAGCAACCTTGTACGCTCCTCATGTCATCATCTACGCTGAAATGTGTTGAGATTGACTCGGCATCGCTCTCACTGTCTTCTTCTGCTGCAAAAAGACTGAGTTAATAAGTACACGCACTTCGTTGAGGACTAAGATATTCATATAGAAACAGAAGCCCGTGTTGCTCTTCTATCACAACTACAGAGCATGACCTTGAATAAAAGCTGGAAAGTTGAAGGGAACGAGATAAAAGCAACTAGAACTACTGTCCAAGGAAAAATGTACTATGACACAGATAGAAAAACTTTCACCTCTTCCTTTTCGAGTAGGCCCAGAATAAGCGTCCTTATCCTTATTCTTGTTGCGTCCTTTGCCCATATCTATACTGAGAAATTTCAAATTACTTCAAAAACATATATTAGCAGAAAAAGCGCTCTTTCATGAGATCAGATGGATCAAGTAGCTTCAAAAAA